AACGATATAACTAAACACGTATAATATATTTTCGAGTCTAATATATTCAATTTACATTTAGAATTCATATTCAGTGGATTTTATAAGGGATACAGAACCGCACGAACCCTGAACAAATAAGTAAAAGGAAAGAGAGGTAAACAGATTATTGAGCACATTTCTAAGATACTGTAAAAAAAAAAAAGTTGTCAGATTGGATTTGAAATTTTGAATCGTACAAGCACTACGGGCATTAGCTGGTAATTTGTTGTACAATGAAGCTCCTCTGTAATAAAATGTTCTTTTACAATTATTGGTTCTTGGTCTAGGGAGACTTAGATTACCTATGAAACGGAAAAGGTACCTGTCTTCTTTGATTAGTATGGGACGTTTGATATATTCAGGAATAAGATTATTAAAAATTTTGTACATCATAATATATATATGTTCTTCTTGGCGGACACTTAGTAATTTCCAATTTAAGACTTCATGGATATGACTAAGTGGAAATATGAGAGTATGGATTGATTTTCAATATCATTCTTCCTGCTCTGTTCTGAAGTTTTTGCAACATAGTATATATTTTTTTTGAGGGGGCAGACTGCCAGATTATATCGGTGTAATCAAAATGGGGAAGAATAGTTGAGGAATAAACAATTTTTTAAATAGATTCATTTACAGAATGTCTAAGTCTACCAAGAAAACCTATCATTTTACCAATTTTAGAGCACATTATTTTGTTCAATATGAAAATTCCACTTAAGCTATTTATCAATAAAAATTCCAAGGTATTTTCCTGTTTCTACATTTTTAATATACGTATTTTGAATTCTTAAATCTAAAACATCGTGCCTTGCTAGCATTTGTCTTGTTCCAAAAGACATGCATACAGTTTTAGCACAATTTATTTTCAACTTATTTCTATTCATCCATGTACTCACTTTGGTAAGTTCGGAATTCAAAGTTGTCTCAACAACTTTTGCATCTTTATCAGAGAAATATAAAACAGTATCATCTGCATAAAAATGAAAATCACATTTGTCAAATACAGAAGCTAAGTCATTAATAAATAATACATGGAGAATTAGCCCAATCAAACTCCCCTGGGGCACCCCGTTGTTAATAGAATATTCATCCGAAAATGTATTATTTAAAACAGTAGTGAATATTTTTTTTTCGACAAATAACTTGAAAACCAGTCCAAAGATTACCAACTATACCGAGCCGAGCTAGCTTAGATAAAAGTAGCTCGTGATTGACCATGTCAAAGGCTTTATGTAAATCGATGAATACCGCCCCGGTGTAATGTCCCTTATTCGTGGCTTGGAGCCAGTCGTCAGTTACTTTCAACAATGCCGTTGTGGTTGAGTGCTTAGCTCTAAATCCTGATTGCTCAAGTACTAACATTTTGTTTATGCTATGGTCACATTACCCAAAAGAAGCCTGCCCGGCGGCCGAGCGGCGAGTTTTTAACCAATTCTGCCCGGCGGCTGCCCGGCCAGCGAGCGGCGGCCGCCCAGGCACCGCTCGTTTTAAGGGCATCGCTCGGTCGCCGCTGAAGTTTTAGCGCGGAGTTAAAATTTGGTCGGCGCCTTCTCACTTTTCACTCGCCGCCCAAAATACGCTCGGTGCCTGGGCGGTCGCCGCCCGGGCACCGACCTAATCGCTGGGCGATGCCCGAATTCCAGCAGCGACCGAGCAGGCTACTGATCGGTCGGTCGCTGCTCTGATTTGTGACCATAGCTTAACTTGAATGAACTTAAGTAGCTGAATAAGGACGATTTTTCGAGGATTTTAGAAATACAAGGAAGAAGAGAAATTGGTCTACAGTTATCAGGATTTGATTTGTTCCCTCTTTTTGTAGAGGGATTACCTTAGCTATCTTCCATGTTGTTGGCACTTTTCCATCTAGAATCGACATTCGTTTACACAAGTTTTCAAGATAAATGTGGATATACCATCAACACCAAAAGATTTCTTGTTTTTTAACTTCAGAACTTCCTTTAAAACATCATCTTCATTTACTGTATGTAAAATTAACAAATTATCAGGATTAGAAGTATTAACATAATAGTTTGCATGCTGTTCGGACAAATCATTGATTAAGTCGTCATACGCTACATTTGCAAAATGAAAATTGAATTTATTAGCAGCAGTCCGGGTGTCATTAGAATGAATGGGATGGTTGATGAAGAGCTGTCATTTGTAGTAAGTGATTTTAAAACCTTCCAAGATTGAGTTCTGTTTTGACATTCATATAATTTGTCAGTAAAATGTTTCTTTTTAAGTTTTCGATTTTCTAATGTTACTTTATTCCTCAAACGTCTATATTCGATCCAAATATTTTTCTCCTACTCTATTTTTCATTAAAAAAATTTGATTCATTTAACCAGGGGGATTGTTGATTTCTAATTCTTTTAGTTTTACAAGGCATAAATTTATCTATCACATTTATCAAAAGTTCTTTCCATTTGTTTGCTGCTTCATCAATGTCTTCATATACTTTAATTTCACCCCAAGGCTGCTTTTTCACATCGGACTTAAAAGCTTCCACATCTACATTAGTACACTTTCTAACATTAACGTATTTTTCATTCATATCATTATTATTACAATTGGATTTCCATACAATGAACTAATTGAATGATCACTTAAGCCGCTGTGAATAACCCCCCCCCCCCAAGACTTAATTTTATCAATGGAATTAGTTACTATATGGTCTATTAAGGATGAGGAACTATTTACAATTCTAGTGGATTCAGAGGTATTTACCTGGTTCATGGAGTATATGCTATTAATTTGATTATAATTCTTAGTTTGCCAATTTAAAGTTTGTTTTAAGATATCACAGTTTGTATCACCCATCATTATCAGATGACAGTTAAATCCAGATACAAAAGAAATAAGTTCATCATAATAATTAAAACTTCATTTTTTGAATTAGGAGGTCTGTACCAGTTAATAAAGATAATAGGTTTTGTATTCTTTAGTCGAATAATAATAATAGGTATGGCCTCAAGGTGGGAAAGAGAATCGTGCTCCAAAACTGAATAAATAAGACTTTCATGTATATAAATAGCAACTCCACCTCCAGATCTATTTCTGTCCTTTCTGACAATGAAATAATGAGGTATTTCAATTTCAGAACTTCTGATGCTACCATCCAGTCTAGTTTCATTGAATGCAAAAATGTGAATTTGGTTTTTCATAACAATAGATCGCAATTCATCAATATTCTTAAGTAAACTGGCAATATTAAGATGAACAAATTTCAGACCCTTAATAGATAATTCTGAATATTTCTTGAAGCTAATATCATGATTTTTCTGGGTGACCTCTGAATTATCCTCATGAGAATTTGATACAATTATTGTAATAGATTCAGGTACATTAGTAGATTCATCATAAAATGGCAATACTTTCATGATACATTTCGGGCACCGCCATTCCAAAAACAACAACAACAACAATATACATATATATATATATATATATATATATATATATATATATATATATATATATATAAATATGTTTGCACACACAGGTGGAGACAATCCGAAACTGGAGCGAAACAGTACTTAATCACATATCCATACATGTATGTTATAACAGAGAATGATTATTATTTAACTTTACAGGTTCACTTTACATAACTGCATTTCATTAAGTGGCAAAACATAAAGATAAAGAACCAGAAGTACCAGAGTGGACCATGAATACTCCTAGAATCCAGGGTCATATAATACAAAAGAGCAACATGACAAAAGAGTCTACTCATTATATAATAGAGTATGAGAGAGTTATACGAAGAAGAGAACAACTATTACAATCTAAGTCTATGCAGTCAGTGTCAATGACCAAGAGTGGAACATCACTCAAAAGTAATTAAGTAACAAGCATACTATTATTCCTTTAAGTATCTAGTACCATGGGAGGGATACCTCATGGGAGGGATACCTCATGGGAGGGATACCTAGTGATTTATATCCAATGTAAATGTTTTGGCAGCCACTTTGAACGGTACAATGGCAGCCATCTTGGAGACATTGTTCTATTAAAAACCACACTTATACTTGATGGTAATTTTTCGTGCATCTGATTCTTATTTCTACCCTTAAAAATGTACCTTTACACTTGAAAACTCTATTGTAAATAATAAACCGAATCCGATTATGTTACGATATCAGCTACAAGTTTGGACGCCATCACGAATTTCCGGGTTTTCTGGTGGCAATTGCACATTTTAAACAGTCTAAATGGATTTGTAGACCCTTAAAGCCCCTCTGCACTGGTTTGGCATGGAAGGATTAGACCTCCCTGCAAGGTAACTGGCAGGTGGTTATCTCATCAAATTAATTATCTCTCAATTATTAACATAAGAAAAAGGGCATCATGGGGGATCAACGGATACCGCTTAAGCATTGTTGGCTGTATAGAGGACGCATGTAGCTATACGTAGTGCAGTGGGGCTTTAAACCTAGGTATAGTTATCAAAATTACATCTCTAAAATGGATATGTCACGATTTATGGCTAATTTCAGTTTTCGTCGGCCATCTCGGATTACAAAAAGGATGCTATCTTTGGAATCGTTTTGAGTATAAAACTACTCTAAACCTTTATGATAATTCAAAGCACAATAGTGAATATCCTGACATCTTAAACATACATTTAATCAGATTCAGATTCAGATTTGGTCGAAAGCTAATACCAGTAAAACACACTAAAAGGGAATACAAAAAAAAAGAAAAAGTAAAAGTAAAAATAAAAGTAAGATAAATATAATAACAGAGAGAGAGAGAGAGAGAAAGGGGAGAGAGCAAGAGAGAAATAGAGAGCGAGAGAAATTACCAAAAGTAACTCACTTCTGGTCATTTTTAGGAGAATGGCGGCCATTTCAAACGCTACCGGAATCGGTTGAAAAATATTTTGTCGCAATCTTTTTGGGGTTGACGTATTTTTTTATTAATTTAAATGAATCAATTAAAATATGAAAAATTAAATCCATTCTAATTCTCACCAATGAGGGATGAAGTGCAGAGAAGTAGGAACATGCCTCTCAGGGTAACAGCGGATGTATATCTCTGCATCTATTGTATAGTCACAAAGAAACAAAATCAACGGATTCAGCACAGTAAAAGTAATACCACTTTTTCACTCTTACGAAAAAACGATGTAGAAAAATGAAGATGAAGCCCTGAAACTATTCGATTGGCTTACAGATAAGGATGGGGATAACGAAATAAATTTGATAAAGAACGTTAAGCGAATGCTTTTAATGTTTTAAATAACCAAACATGCCATATTTGGTCATTAATGTTATGTAGACATAACAAACTTAAAACTTCTAAGAAATAAGAAATGTTGATTCCCCACCGTCCTTAACAAAAAAGACATTCATTTCTTGTGAGCTTTATCCAATACAATTGATTATCATCATCGAATCATTTGATAAAAACAAATTTGAACCTTGACCAGTCTTACCTTAATAGAAATTGTACTCTGCTCGTATCTTGAAACTCGTGGAAGGGTGCTTAATTGCACACAAATAATAGATGGAAAATGCTGAAGTGCACTAAAATTTGGCAGCTGGTTGAAATCGATTTCTGTTTGAGATGTTATAGAGCGGGTATGTTCCTGCTGAAGGAGCATCGCAGACAATGGCTGGCTCGATTCCTGTGTATAGATGTTGTATATCATCGGACCAATCACAGAGCTGCCCACTTTCACGTGTACCTCGATTTGGCGATATACATATACATACAAATTATAAAGGATCTATCTACGAATGATTACGAGGCGACGGACCTAGGATTTCCGAGAAGGGAGGGGGGGGGGGCAACCAACGTTTGCGCAAAGCGCGCTGCTATAGCGCGTTAGCGCAAGCCTTTCTAGATGGGGTCTAAGGACCCGCCTTATGGCCCGTATTGTGGTGCAGAGCCCCAGACGTTCTCGAGTTTAAAGGGCCCATGAAATCGAAATACAAGTGTATTCCTGTTGGTGTACAGTCCTGCATACATCTCATATTTTGATATGCAAACTTCTTAATTTTTTTCATAGATTTGTTAATCTTTTTTGAAATATTTGTTTTTCAAACTTGCTAAGCTCCACCCCCCAAAACCTCCAGATCTCATTTCCCTTGTGACATCATCTGTCAGTCATCAATTAGCTAACTTGAGAAAGTGGCATGTAACTTTGCCAAAGTTGACCACATGTTACAATACCACAAACAATAGCAACATATAAGTTGCTATGTCAGACATGTCAGACTAAATTAATATACTAGAATAGACAATGGTATGTAATTTCCCCCAGCACACGTTCATAATAGAATTGCATGCTTCCATACATAATGTACAATACATCATCATTGCCTTTGTCTTCCTGGTGATGACTGACAGATGATGTCACAAGGGGAATGAGATCAGGAGGTTTTTGGGGTAGAGCTTAGCAAGTTTGAAGTTTCATAATCTTTTGTTGCATATTGGCCTCGAATGGCGTAAATTGTTTTTGAATAATTTATAACATATCACTATGCCAACATTACTGTATACTCGCGGTTTCTCTACACTGCTTAGGATCACCTACTTATCCTAATCATTGTAGAAATAAATTCGGTTTTCAACAATTATACTAATAGAGGTGTTTATGACATGGCTCATTGAATAGATAATAATGATGTTATATGTCGTGCACGAGGCATTGCACTTCTGGTCGCCATGGCGGCCATCCTTCTCACATCATTTTTTTTTTTTTTTTTTTACCAATGCTGAAAAATAATCGTTTCATTTTGGCAGGCTTGCAGTTCAGTGAAATATTCATTTTGTAGGGGTATTTGATGTCCTTTTTTTTTGGGGGGGGGGGTAGCTAAGTGTAAAAATCGAATCATATTATTTGTGTACGATATTGGAAAAAGTGGAAAGGATTGAAAACCGAATACTTTGACGGTTATACAATATTTAGATTTGAACTGTTCGCCTAAATATGTGATAGAAATAATCTCCCGGACATAATGTCTTTATTATCAACTATCAACAGCCCTCATGGCATCCATATTTTATATCTCTGTTTCTCTCTTCCCTCTCTTTCTCTCTCTTTGTCTCATTGCCTCTGTTTATCTCTTTCTATATCTGCCTTATCTCTTTCTTCCTGTCTCTCCGTCTCTCTGTGTATGTCTGTATCCGTATCGCTCTTGCTCTTCCGCCTACGAATCACCCCCCCCCTTCGATTTCCCTCTCGTCATCGCCCTCCCATATTCATGCTCTCCCACCTTACAACCTTATTTTATCTTGTCCTATTTTATTCAACCTTTTCTCTTTTGTAATACTCTTGGTCTTCTTCTTCTTCTCGTGGGTCTTCCTCTTATCGGAGGCCTTTTTCTTCTTTCTTTCTTTTTTCTCAGTTCAATTGCACGTATATTCCTAAAAGAAAAAAGTGATATTTGATTATAGCTTGCACTTGAATCGAGCTTCATCATTGCCATGTTCATTTTTTTTTTAATGACAAAGTGTCGTCGTTGACTACGGAGACCCTTTTTCTTTCTACTTTGTTAAAATCTTTTGTTGTTGCATTTTAGCAATGCATATTGGCCTCGAATGGCGGAAATTGTTTTTGAATAATTGATCCAAATCACTATGCCTACATTACTCATCAGCTTATGATCACCTACTTATCCTAATCATAGTAGAATTAAGTTCGGTTTTTAACAATTAAACTAATCGAGGTGCTCGTGACATGGCTCATTGAATAGATAATAATGATGTTATATGTCGTGCACGAGGCATTGCACTTCTGGTCGCCATGGCGGCCATCCTTCTCACATCATTTCTATTTTTTTTTACCAATGCTGAAAAATAATCGTTTCATTTTGGCAGGCTTGCAGTTCAGTGAAATATTCATTTTGTAGGGGTATTTGATGTCCTTTTTTTTTGGGGGGGGGGGGGGGGGGGGGGGGTAGCTAAGTGTAAAAATCGAATCATATTATTTGTGTACGATATTGGAAAAAGTGGAAAGGATTGAAAACCGAATACTTTGACGGTTATACAATATTTAGATTTGAACTGTTCGCCTAAATATGTGATAGAAATAATCTCCCGGACATAATGTCTTTATTATCAACTATCAACAGCCCTCATGGCATCCATATTTTATATCTCTGTTTCTCTCTTCCCTCTCTTTCTCTCTCTTTGTCTCATTGTCTCTGTTTATATGTCCCTCTTTCTATATCTGCCTTATCTCTTTCTTCCTGTCTCTCCGTCTCTCTGTGTATGTCTGTATCCGTATCGCTCTTGCTCTTCCGCCTACGAATCACCCCCCTTCGATTTCCCTCTCGTCATCGCCCTCCCATATTCATGCTCTCCCACCTTACAACCTTATTTTATCTTGTCCTATTTTATTCAACCTTTTCTCTTTTGTAATACTCTTGGTCTTCTTCTTCTTCTCGTGGGTCTTCCTCTTATAATAGGCCTTTTTCTTCTTTCTTTCTTTTTTCTCAGTTCTATTGCACGTATATACCTAAATGAAAAAGATTAAATTTGATTATAGCTTGCAATTGAATCGAGCTTCATCATTGCCATGAAATTTTTTTTAAGACAAAGTGGCGTCATCGACTACGGAGACCCTTTTTAAAAAAACTTTTGTTGTTGCATTTTAGCAATGCATATTGGCCTCGAATGGCGTAAATTGTGTTTGAATAATTGATCCACATCACTATGCCTACATGATTCATCAGCTTATGATCACCTACTTATCCTAATCATAGTAGAATTAAATTCGGTTTTCAACAATTATACTAATAGAAGTGTTTAGGCCATGGCTCATCGAATAGATAATGATGATATGTGTTTGTCGTACACGATTCATTGCACTTCTGGTCGCCATGGCGTTCATTCTTTCTCATCTCGTTTTTATTTGTTACCAATGCTGAGAAATAATCGTTTCATTTTGGCAGGGTGGTAGTAAAGTGCAAAATCCGTATTTTTCTCTTTCTCTTTTAACAATTGAATCATATCATTTATGTAAGATATCGAATTCAGTGGAAAGGAATAAAACCCCAATACTTTGATGGTAATACAAGATTTAGATTTAAACTGTTTGCCTAAATATGTAATAGAATAAATCCCCCTTGAATAATGTCGATAATCAGAATACATTGATGAGCATTAACCAAACTCCCTCTATCGCTACGTTGTATTTCTTAACATTGTATTTTTGGTATTTACATTTCCAATTTTCTTTACAGAAAGCCATTAGCAATTCATCAAATATATTATACAGTCATGAACCCAAAAAACCTTTTCTCTTTTGTAATACTCTTGATCTTCTTCTTCTTCTCGTGGGTCTTCCTCTTATCGGAGGCCTTTTTCTTCTTTCTTTCTTTTTTCTCAGTTCAATTGCACGTATATACCTAAATGAAAAAAGCGATATTTGATTATAGCTTGCACTTGAATCGAGCTTCATCATTGCCATGTTAATTTTTTTTTTAATGACAAAGTGGCGTCGTCGACTACGGAGACCATTTTTCTTTCTACTTTGTTAAAATCTTTTGTTGTTGCATTTTAGCAATGCATATTGGCCTCGAATGGCGGAAATTGTTTTTGAATAATTGATCCACATCACTATGCAGGCGCGGATCCAGGATTTCTTAGGGGGGGGGGGCCCAAATTTGAAATTATGCGAGCCAAATATTGGTACGTAATAGTGACCAACAGTGACGTAATGCGGGGGGGGGGTCGGTGCAGGGAGGGGCGATTCCCCCCTCCCTCCTCCGCGAAACGCGGAAGCTTTGACGTTTTATTAAATTATTAGAGAAAGAAGACGATTCGTTGTACCATTCTCGAAAATAATTCTCGTCTGAATTTAATTTTTCCCCTCCCGCGCGGAGCGCGGAAAAAATTTACGATTTATTAAACTATTAGAGAAAGAAGATGATTCGTTGTCGAGTTCTCGACTCTTAATCCTCGTCTGAATTCAGTTTTCCCCCTTCCTCGTGAAGCGTGGAAGCTTTTACGATTCATTAAATCATTAGAGAAAGAAGACGATTCGTTGTACCGTTCTCGACTCTTAATCCTTGTCTAAATTCAGTCTCCCCTCTCCCCCTCTTGCGCGAAGCGCGGAAGCTTTTACGTTTCATTAAGCCATTAAAGATTCGTATTACCGTTCTCGCCTCTTAATCCTCGTCTAAATTTAGGTTCCCCCCCCCTTCCCGCGCGAAGCGCGGAAGCTTTTAAATTTCCTTAAATCATTAGAGAAAGAAGACGATTCGTTGTACCGTTCTCGAAAATAATTCTCATCGGAATTTAGTTCCCCCTCCATCCCGCGCGAAGCGCGGAAGCTTTTACGTTTCATTAAGCCATTAAAGATTCCTATTACCGTTCTCGCCTCTTAATCCTCGTCTGAATTTGGATTTCCCCCCCCCCCCTCCCGCGCGAAGCGCGGAAGCTTTTAAATTTCCTTAAATCATTAGAGAAAGAAGACGATTCGTTGTACCGTTTTCGAAAATAATCCTCATCTGAATTTAGATTCTTCCTCACCCCCCCTCCTCCCGCGCGAAGCGCGGAAGCTTTTAAGTTTCATTAAATCATTAGAAAAACAAGACGATTCGTTGTACAGTTCTCGACTCTTAATCCTCGTCT